AGCACCAGGAGTCTCTATGCTCACCACTCCTCTAACAAGTCTCTGTTCCTGCTTCCCTCAGGAACAGGACAGAGACTCAGGACAGTGGCTCAGGACAGAGAGCAGAGTTGTACATAAGAACCTTCTGCTGTATACGCAGGCTTCCCATGTCTATTACACACACAAATGCACATGGAAATGTGTGCACACATACATATATATACACACCTGTACATATTCAATACTGACTATAATACTGAAGTAAACTGAGGTTATGTTCCAGAGGTCCACTGTTAAATTTCTCTGGGGTGAATCTCACATCTCTAAGTAACTGACTGGCTAAGCCAGGCCTTCAATGATCACTCAGGATTTTGTTGTGCGGATGCACAGTAATTTAACATCCCCTGTGACTGAACTGCCAGATTGTCTCCAATTTTATGAATAGCAGATGACACCATGATGAACAACAGCGTCGGGTAAATATTGGTGCAGGTCTCACTTATAGGCAGATTTTAAATTCAACTGCAAAGTCCATAGGAAGACTAAAAGGATTACTTAAATATTTGTTTGCTTTTATAGCTCTTCTTTGCTCACAGTGATATTTCCCAGAAACATGACAAATAAGTGTCAAATTCTATATGGCTATAAACAATTTGGGAAGCACTTACTGGCTGCTTTGACTAAGAAAACAGATAAGCACTCCATGAAAGCAACAGGATGATTATTGAAATATTACACATTTCACAACAAAGGGTTCAGTTCTTCAGGGCAAGAAATGTACAATGAGATACAGAAATAAAAAAGCACATTTCCTGTCAGATAAATGCTATTAAAAAAAACCCAAATACACTGCCAGGTATGGTGCCACATGCATATAATCCCAGCATACTGGGCAGGAGAATCATGAATTGAAGGCTAATAAGACTGTCTCAAAGTAAAAAAAACAAAACTATGCCTACATACATGGGCTCTAGTGTGATGGCTCTAGATTGTCTCCAGTATATTCTATATTCTCTCTCTCTCTCTCTCTCTCTCTCTCTCTCTCTCTCTCTCTCTCACACACACACACACACACACACCCTGCATAATACCTAGGAATAATCTAACCAACAACAAGGGGCAAGACCTTCATGAAGAAAAAGAATCCCTGAAGTCTTCTGGAAGATACTACAAAATGCAAGTGCAGCCCTTTACCACATCCCTACATCCCTGGGGCCAATGAAACCTCAAGGAGACTCATTTGTTTTGGTGTCACTGGAAAGGCTAATTCTCAAACTTATACAGGCTGAGGATGGCTGGGCTGCTGTAGAGAAGCAAAGAGGAGCAAAAGGATCAGATCTGAAGAGTAACCACAGAGCCAATCACCATGAGAGGACAATGCTGACTCTGGTGGAGGAAAACTGGCCAATGGAATTGAACAGGGTCCACAGACACAGCTATGATATACCATAAGGACAGAGAGGAACCTAGACATTCCTCATAAAGGGTACTCAAGACAACTTCTGAATCTTCTGAACAGTGAAGAACTAGAGGGAGGTACTGGAAAGGATGTGGTGTTAGCCTGGTTTCCCCCAGAGAGCACAGCTCACTGAGTCTGGGTGGAAGGTACAGGAAAGGGCACAGTGCGAGACCCTGTGATCTCACAGGCTTAGGTAACAAAGACCTTTGAAGAGGAAGGAGTCAAAAAAGAACCCCAGGTGGGGAAGGGAAGTTCCAATGATACTGAGACCAGGGGGGCCTGCCCCGTAGCTCAGTTCTTTAAGTGGCTGCTTCAACAAAACAGTCAGGCTCAGGTTGCTTGGGTTCGATCCCCACAACACAATACAGCCAGTCATGCCTTGAAGG